CCTGTTCTGCCTTCTCACGTCTGTAATAGAGAATCATTCCTTGTCGTGGGCTGTTTCTGACAGTTCTTAATTTTCTTGAAGATTCAATGTGAATAAACCAAGTCCCATCCTTTTACAGCATCCACACTATTTGACAGGTGTTGTCAGGACTGTAATTGAATTTATTTCCCTTAAACGCACTCCAGGTGTCCCACACCTACATATTGCAGTAAGATAGCTGCTAGCAGGACCTGGGGTCCCTCTCCATCTTTACTCAGTGATACCCCTCCTGGGGAGAAGAGCAGTGTATCTGTCTGCCAGTATATCAGACCAATTATTCCACCAACCAGCATTCTCATAAATGTCCAGGGACATTTTCTAAGACCTCTTCTTTGGTTCTTTCCAGGTTTCAGCTGACAAATGATTCATGCTGATGATACAAGGTCTATGTTGTTCAACAAGTGCTACTTTTACTCATTAAACAACTTGGAAACCCCAGACATAACTTTTTAAATTAAACTATGGGAGAAAAATTAAATAAGAAAAACAGTAATTATGGATAAGAATAACACAATTATTAAAATTTTAGAAACCATGTAAATATTAAGGTAATTACTGTTTTACCTATCAATACAAGTTGATGATATGAACACACTGAACATGTCACGATTATAGTCCCCCCTCCTTAAGGGTGCTCCAGCCCTTTCACTAAGACTTTATTCTCTGCACCTGTTCCCTATTCCCAGCCCACCTTAAAAGCCAGGCGCTGACGCTCATCCGGGCTCTGCAGCTGATTTCCATATCGTGCGAGTCCGGGACCTGGAAGCGCCTGGTCCCGTTAAGGTTTTAACCTTTGTTCCCGTTCCTGTTCCCCGTCCGCCGGTTCCGACCCGGCCTTCGTGGTTTTTAATTCTTTGTTCTGATGGATCTCCTGGTTTTGGACTTACTCATGTGTTTTTGGATACTCTAAGGACTTCTCTTTTGGATTGTTTGCCTCGGCCACACCTCCCCCGTGCACCAGCGCACCTTGGACACGCCCCCCTGTCTTCAGCCCCGTTTTCCTGCATGACGTTTCCCCAGTGTTTCCCCACTCCGTCGGACTGTGTCGTCCGCATAGGGTCCGGAAAGAACTGTTCGTTACAGAACAGAGGTGCACTACTGGGCCAAGTTTAGTTTTGGAAGAAAATTGCTGAGCCTTAAATAAGTACACTTTGGGAAAAATTCAAGGTACGTATCAAGCAGATCTATTGAGTTGTGAGATATGGCATATTTACTCCACAGAGGCATCTGAGTGTCTCAAGGTTAGATGTATGGTTGGTTGCATGGCATGTAAGAAATAGTGTTTCTGTTATTTTGCGACAGCACATGCGGACACAACCACTTAATTTGCTGATAAACCTTAACTGAAGTCTGAGAATGTAATTGCACACTTGTAAACCAGATTCCTATCAACTGTTGTAAGGTGCTATTTATATATCACTTCCAAAGTGAACTAAATGAGTTTAATATTTACTTAACCTGCAATGCAGCTAGTGGGTTCTGACAACCACATAGCATTTTATTTTGAAAACAACACAGCTGTATCTTAGGGTACTTCGTTCCTTCACATGTCTTACTACATTTGAGATTATGTTACTCATCAGATTTGTTTTGGTATTAATTTTTAAGCAAACTGCACTAACTCGGGTTCTAAATGCACAAGAAAAGAGCACAGTAGAGGGTTTGTTTAGACATCTAGGTTAAAATAGAGTTTAATTAATAGACAGTGTTTACTAATGTCTTCTTTTTCAGTGGGCAATACAGTTTTAAAAAAGGGTCTGTAAATCTTAATGCTTTTTTGCTAAATGTCTAGTGCTGACCTCTTCATTGCCAGGAACTTAGATTCACTTTAAAATAAGATCAGATTACTTCTATTGGCTGAAATGAGAGAGGTCAGAAAGAAGGTCTGAGATACTTGAGTTTCTAAACAGCTGAGGTTCTTTAACATATGCATGCAAAAGTCTCTCACTCACACCATATATTTGCATATTTTCAACTGATACATGGATACTATCATAATGTATGTGGGTTGATTCTATGCACTATGTAGAAAATGAGTTTCTTTCTTGTGGAATCTTTTTGGTGAGCAACAGTTTCGACCATGTATTCCTCAACTCCAAAGACCTCTGGTTTTCATTCCTGAACTCTTAGTTTAGGTAAGTGAATTATATAATGTTTTAAAATTAAAGTAGCAAAGTGGTCTACGGTGACAGATATAGGTTTTTTGGGAAGCACTATTTGCAGCACTATTCGTTTAAACAATGTGAGTTACTAAGATGATAGAGAAACATTACCAACTAAACAGACACGCACAAATCCAGAATCTGACATGATTACATTAATCATTTTTGGCATTCAAGGTACTGAAGGAGACACTGGGTAAAGGAGAAGGAACACAATTAGCATCAAACACCTCAAAGCTGATCTCAATTTCATATAAACAAATTATTTTGAAGCCAGTAGTTAAGAATACATGCAAATTCTTACTTTTTGTTGTCAGCATTACAGTTGTATGCCAATGACAAGGCCTGAAGAAGAGAGAAGAGAACTGTCTTTAAATGTGAGTCAACTGCAGCAGTTGGGAGTATAATGTGAGAGGGCTGAAGCATTTCGCATTTTTAAGCCAGTATGTTTCTTAAGCCTAGTACCTCATGTCTATGGTGACAGCTAAGAGAAAGTATTATCTTATTTCACTTTGTTTTGTAACATTTCTTCACTGAAACTTTGTTTTCCATCTCACTTTTAGGGGTGTCTTACAAGTTTGTATTTTCTTGTAAGTTTCTGTTTCCCTTGTAAATAAACTGTCCTTTGGGATTTCATTTTTGGGACATGTGATATTTTTAAATTCTCAACATCACATTTATTGACAGAGGTGGGCAAGACCACTGAAGAACATTACAAACCAACAAAACAGACACACACAAAACACCACTAGTCTGAGCCCAGAATTTCACATCATTGTCACAGACACACATGAATCTTAGTGATGGCCAAAATGCTGGGACCTTAAAACTCTAAAGATTTAAACTCTACAAAGACACCTAAAAGTGTCTACATGGGTGACTACTGTCGCTGATGCTGGTGGCTAACAAGATTAAAGGATTTCTGCTAAGAAATCTGGATAAAGCAGTACCTTTTAAGCTGGGATGTGTTGTTGGACAGCTCATAATAAACTTTGGGTGTTGAGGAGACTGACCACAAGACTTGGATGGCTGCAGAGACTCTCCCCGAAACTTCAGAGTGTTTGTGTGGGGATCTTGGCATTAAAGATGGAAAAAGTGACTCCTTCCATAAAGCCATGGCAGCTGAGAGATCAGCTCAAAAGAGAAGATTGTATTGTCCATTGCATAAAGCAAGGTCATCAGAAGAGTACAAAGGAGGGTATGATCAGATCTAAGGTTAAAAGCTGGACTGTATTCAGGCAATATATTCCTAATACAATCTGAACATATACCATTCTATACATGAGCAGGTGCTTAACGTAGTTCACTATAGATTTTGTTGTGATCCAGTGCTATTTATAGAGCACAAGAGTTATGTACTAAAGTAGATTAGATTTATTTGGCACAGTAGTATTAAAAATCAGAATCTTATTCTTCAAATTGATTAAAGAATGTCTTGCTCAAGGTGCTGTCAGCCTCAAACTGGTTAAAATTAACATACTGTAATGTGACATCATTTAAAAAAAAAGACTTTTTTTCTGTTCTTATCAATGGAAAGTGGTAAAAGATGGTGCTGTCAGTTAACTATACTGTAATTGCTAACACTATACTTGAGAGCAGAGATGCCCTCCACATTTGAACAAATGTCTATTTTTTTTCTCAGCACAGATGAAACCAGGGAACTGACAAATACTACAACTGGAGGGGTTAATAATTCATTAATACCAGTTTGGTTTCACTCAAACTATCCAGACTATAAAGATTCTGACATTTACACAAATTTCTTCTAAATCCTTTTTAAATGAATGTTTACTAGACTATTTTTAATTCATAAAATAAAGATCACAGAGAAATTTAGAAAGATTGCTTGTTGTGCATTTTATAAATAATCATCTAAATAACATTACCTCCAGTAAAATATTTTAAAGCTTCTGAAGAAGATTCACTTAGTGAAATATGGTTAAATAAAAACAACAGAACCTTGTTTTAGTTGAAAACAATTATTTTTCCCCCTGAAATATCAAGCCATTTATATGAAATATGCTTAAAAAGAATTACTACATTTTGTAGTTATTGTAAACAACACAAAACAAAATCACACTGTCTCTGCTATGTTACCAGACTGCCAGGTTTATAAAAAAACAAATAACTGTAAATCAAACAAAACTGACATTATGGAAAAACCATGAAGCTCCAAAGTAGCATAAGAAGCAAAACCCATTATTACTGAGGTGCATGTAAACATATCCCTTATGTTTTCAACTTCAGTGTCCCTTGAATTCTTTGGCAATTTACAAAGCAGTTCAACAATTTTGAGACTTGTTCCTGGTTAAGAAAACAAAGTATCGGTAAATGCTATTGTACATCTAGTAATATGTTTTATGTCCTAGATTTATATACTCCAATTAATGTTGGAGTTCTGTAAATACCCTGTAATGCCCATATTTCAATTTTAGAGGTTATGCAACAAAGCACTAGACAACTGTGTTAATGGATAACAAAAAAAAACAAAACAATAATGGAATAATTATTACTGACTCACATAGTGGCAAGTCTGTAATTGGTTTTATCATAACAAAAGATATAGGATGTTAGTTTGATTGGTGCTAAATGTCCTTAGGGGCTTTAGGCTGCTGTTCTCCTTAGATTTTATTGCAAGGTCTCAAGTAAGCTAAGCAATGTGCTCCCATCCAGACATTTGTTCTATCTTTAGACACGGGTAGTGGGTGAATGGAAGGGCCTGACTTATCTCCACTGCTGTCATCAAGGCTACTGGTATTTTTAGGGGACAGCAGCAGCTGCAAAAGCATTTAACGGTCTTCCATGAACAATGACACTCAGGGTGTCTCAGGACTTATCGATATAGGAGACCAAGGGAGCAAGGGACTGCCGTACACAGCATACTGTGGTCTACAGAAAAAGAATGCAAGATGGTCATGCCAGGTCTCATTGAATGGAATCGATACGAATGAAGGAAAACTGAAGCAAATGGGAAAAGGATTTTTTAAAGGATTGTAATTTCTTCAAAATAAAAAGAGGAAGTAATAGATAAACAGGACAAGAAACATACAGTAGGCAAAAGCAACAGGTGAGCAGGATAAGGGAACTGAAAATAGAAGAATATGTGTGAGTAAATCTGATTACAGATGTAGATTGTTAAAGAGAGGGAGAACAGACGTACCAGGATTGTACGTCATTCTAATTAGATACATTTTTGTTGTCAGAGTGACAGATAGAGAGGCTAATCAAACATTAAATGCTGGAGCGTCTTTCAAAGCCTGCTGTGTTTCCTTGGCAAATGACTGAAGACACAACCACTTGAGGATAACTGAAAGGAGCTCTCTTATGTAAGTTTATAATCTTCTTAACCCATCCTGTGTCTTGAATAACTGTAGATGAGTGGTACAAATAATTTGTGTGAGTAACATGCTGCAAATTACATTGATAATTTTAATCCTAAAAAATGAAATAATTTAGATTTTTCTGCATCATTTAATATACAGTAGCAATTGGTTTTGATTTGGACAATCTGACCACTTGGAAATAACTGCACTTAAGATTTGTATGATTAGAATATTCTAGCTTGGTTGTGGGGGATTCCATATACTACAGAGCTATTCTTTGCTCTGCAGTTTTGCTCTGTGACCCAGCGGGAAACTCAGACATACAGTATGATTAACATGCTGGAGATTAGGAACCCCTAGGACTCCGGTGTGGGGATCATTTTCCTTGAGAGGGCAGCTGTCCTGAAGAGAAGGGAATCACAACGTGAGCTTTCTAAAAGGGGATAAACTAGCATTGACTCAGGAGTGACTTCTGGCAGGTAGCAGCATGAGAGCTTACCCACAGCTGCTTCAGGCAAACTTGAGAAGACAACTATAAACTGAGATGAGAAGGGGATAGACTGAGAGGTCCTTTCTACTCCACACACAACAGCGAGATAAAAGCCATACTAGGTGACCTTATTCAGAAAAAGTTCAAGTACACTAGGTAGCTGATGTAGGCTGCAAACGAACAGGTAAAGGTTTATTCCATGCTGAAAGGAAAAGAAAAGAGACACCTGAAGAAGGCTCCAAAGCTAAAATGCTGTGTGTCTTTTCTTTTCCTTTCAGCATGGAATAAACCTTTACCTGGAGGAGCTGAGGTTTGTTCCTTTCATTTTAAGTAAAAGGCAAGAACACTTTCTTTTGATAGTGGATTTTAGACTGTAGTTCAAATCTTCATCGTTATGTAACCAATAGGGAATGGAAGGCGGGGTGCTGAAAATATTTTGACTCCACATTGCTGGTAGAAATACTCCAGAAATAAGACTGCATTTGTGCATGTTTGGAGTGTGCTTTGTGATACCTGACACAAGCCCCTGCACAGGTCTTTATTTAGGCATACTATTTTAAGTGCTTTCTCACTGAAATACAGGACCAGCTGTTTAGGATATGCTGTAGCTTCTGTTGCAACAGGATGAGAGGCCATTCACCTCTAGACATGCTGGTTTAGATTCCACTGACATGGAGAGTAACCGTAATTTGAAAAGTGCTGGGGAGTAAAAGTTCTGATGAAATACAACCCACAACTTTGGAGCCGAAAGCCCTCCTACCAACTCACACTGCCTAACCCAGCAGCACATGGTAACTACTCAGAGTAAAGAAAGGTGTCTTAATGTGCAGTGAATATGTTGAGTTAAAAAAATATATATTTTTTTAAGTTTTAAAGTTTTACCTATTGAGGTTTTCAGTAATTATTTATTGGATTTATAATATAGGTTATCCTTATGTTTTATAAATATTTTCCCATTGATTTCTTATTAACAGGAACTGTAAATATTGAAACATTAAATGCTACACCCCCCTGCAGATGCAATCAAAAATGTACTACTGTGCAGCTTGTTAATGTATATGCATGTAGAATATATAAAAGGTGTTTCAAAGAACAAACATTAACAGTTATTAAAGTTATTTATTAAAAAACTATATTCTGAAGATTTTGAAAATTCAGACTGGCCAGATAAGGAGGTATTTTGATCAATTAATAAACCCACATATCCTTACAAAAGAGCTGAGCACTCCTGAATTTAAACTGCCGACAAACATATGCTTCCAGTTTTTAGAAACTGATAATTTAAGAAGGACTTGTGAAACCTGCTGGACTGATTCCAGGTACCTAATTGAACTTTTTTTTATCCTATGAGATGTTAATTTATACTGTACATGACATCCAGTAATGAAAAAAATGTCTCGATAGCCTACAGTGAGGATGGCAACATACAATTTGCCCTGTCTTATTTTCACAGCTCAGTGGGCCTGCAAGGTGTGAAACAAGAGTGAGGACGAGAGGCTTGCAGTCTGGCCTTACATTTGTGGCTCAGAGAAAAAGAGACTGCATGCCTGTGGATTCCAGTGTGAGACGAAGCTGGCAAACAAGCAGAGATGGATGTCTTTGGAGGTGCTCCACGTTTCCTAGCGTATCCCCGCCCCGTGGTGGTTCAGTGTGGTACCGATGCAGTGCTGAAGTGCCAGATTGGAGGGGATCCGCGGCCAGCTGTCATATGGGAACGGAACAATGAGCAGATTCAGCCTGAGGGCCGGTACCGTCTCTTTGAGGACGGCAATGTCTACAACCTTATCATCTCAAGGGTGGATGCTGAGGACAGTGGACAATACATTTGCAAGGCCAAAAACAGCATTGGGGAGACCTACGCAGCAGCAACTCTGAAAGTGGAGGGAGAGGCGCAGCAGAGAGAACTGCAAGAGGAGAATAAGCCACGCTTCCTTATCAAGCCCCTCTCAACTCGTGTAGGCCGAGGAGAGGATGCTGTCTTCTCTTGCAAGCTGTGGGGTAAGCCCCGACCAGAGGTAATCTGGGAGAAAGATGGCAAAAAACTGAATGACATTTTTGAAAGCACACATTATAGTGTGAGCTACCAAGATGGGGGCTGGTTCCAGCTGAAACTCTTCAAGACCCGTGCGCCAGACGGAGGAGTTTATACCTGTCGGGCTAGGAATGAGTATGGAGAGGAATTGGCTGGGGCTGTCCTACTTGTGGATGCCGGACCAGGCCATGAAGAGGAGGCAACTCGCAATGGGTACGCAAATGGCCACTGGAAGCCCCACCAAGGCAAGCAAAGAGGAGGACGTCAAATCGCCATACGACAAAAAGAGGACCCTGTACCTAACTCCGCAAAAGTGAAAATGTTTGCAGTGACAGAAGGCAAGCATGCCAAGTTCCGCTGCTATGTCACAGGAAAGCCCAAACCAGAAATAGTATGGAGGAAAGACGGAAGGTTAATATTGTCTGGGCGACGTTACCTCTTGTATGAAGACCGGGAGGGTTACTTTACGCTGAAAGTGCTCTATTGCAAGCAAGAGGACAATGGGCTTTATGTTTGTGCAGCCTCCAACACTGCAGGCCAGACTCTTAGTGCTGTGCATCTCACTGTTAAAGGTATGTATTATTTCAAGCAGTACTTGTAGTCTTTACTGACATGAACAAGGCTAGTTAGGTGAACTAACTCATCTAACTAACAAAGAATGAACTAAAATGCAGGGGTTAGGAACTAAAATTTAAAACTACAAATTGATTGTCTACAAGAATAGACAAAATATTTTAAAATCACTATTATTTGAGTTATGTTTCTTCATGTCTTGTAATGTTTCACGCAGGATTTAACTTTTGTAATAAAAATATAACTATCGTATGCAATGATTTTGCTAGAATACTGTATATATTTTCTTAAGTTGTAATGACCCCCCAAACAGCATATACATTTTTTGTCACTTGTATTAGGAGCAAGACAGAGAACATCAGAGGGAAAGAAAGTCAGGTGTTCTTCATTGAAATGAAGTTAGAAGATGTAAGATAGTAGAACGCTATTACACATATTTTCTAATAATCCCTTTGATTTAAATTCAGGGATCCTTTTCAAAATGAAAATAATAAAAAAGGCATTTTAATAAAATAAATAAAACAATTAAAAACGTTTTAAAGCAAGAGAACAAAAGAAAGATAGGTGAAAGGTAGCCAACAGGGCCATTCATTTACAGTAGCTTGTTTGGTTGGTTTTAGATTAATTATTCAATAATCCAAACAGTGCTTTTGTTTACTCAATCAAATTCACCAAGATGGCAAAGGGATTTGTGAACCCATACACTATTTTAAAATAAATTACTCTTGATTCTGTCCTGAGTCCAGCAACGTCCCATGTTCTTAATGTCAGTTCCAAAGTATGTGTATCTATAATGTTCCTGAATACATTCCCTGGATTGACGTACTCACTACTTCTTAGGATTTTCAATACCTGAAGTTCCTACACTGCTCTAGGCTAAAAATATTCAATTACCTTAACCTGTATCAGACATGGAATCATCATGTATTAGACATGAAATGACTATTAGATCAGCAATTAATCTGGTTGTTTTACTTTATACTGCCTACACTACAGCAAATGTTTGGGACCAGATAGTATTCTTCAAATTTCAACTGAGTAACAAAGAGATAGCAAACAAGAAAACTATATTTTCTTTAACAAAATTATTTCAGTAATTCAAGAGAGGGGTAAGGCCCATTTGACAGGAAAATTGCTTATGCAATTAGCAAGTCTTCTATAAACATGGTGATGAAACTAAACTAATTATTGACCAATTGTTTTTGGAAATAATAATTAAAACAAAATTAGAAAATCATCAAAAGTATATGGTAATAGGCTTTTAGATGATAACTAACATCAGACTCTTGCTTTGCTAAGATTAGGTCCTTAAGGTCTTGCTCTGCTTCTCGTACTATGATTTTGCTGCTGTAAAAATAGAGCATTTGGAATAGAGTATTCAATCAAAAATTGAATTATTTTTATTTATATAGTGCATTTCATTTTAAAGGATCCTAAAATGGTTTACATACAGTATAGCAGGGGACCCAATACATCCACCACTGAAGTGCAGCACATTTGCGTAATGCACATTAGCTTTGGGACCT